CGAGACATATAATTCTTAGTTTTCCAAAAAGTAAACTCCTATTCATGTGGAAGAAGCCTAAAAGGCCTTTAACTTGGTCTAAACAAGCTTCCAAAGAACATGGCATCCATGAAAGAGAAAAATAAAAGAACGAAAGGACAGTTGAAGTACTAAGGAAGAAATCATTAAGAAGTTGTTAAAAAGAAATAATAATGGGAAGTGGTATGGAAAAAATAGTAAATACAGTTTCAAAACATATAATAGAGAACTGAAATGTATAAATATGTCATAATGCATATTTACATACTGTATATGAGGCCCCTAGAACCATAAGAAATGCAAAAAATTCACTATTAATAACTCATTCTCAAATTGCCCCCCCTTAAAAATCAAATTGCCCTCCTGTGGGGCATGTGCCCCACAGTGAGAACCACTGTTAAAGCCCATTGGAGAGTTAATTTTGGGGCATTTTCATTTGCCTTTGGGCAATTACAGTGGTGCTGCCTGGCTTAAAGAAAGTCCTCAGGTCCCGATTCAGGCTGCTAGGAGTCAGCCCAGTCCTGATGAGGCCTGAAGGACTGTAGGTAGGACCCTGACTGCTTCTATGACACTCTTCTCTGCTAGTAACTTTAAAATATTATCACATTTAATCCTTACCACAGCCCTTAGCATAGCTATTTCCCTTATTTTCATATAGAGGAAGAGGCACCAGGAATTATAACATTGACCGAAGTATACATCCTGTATTCTCCTTCACCTCTGGTTATACCTTCTGAGTCTTCTTCTTCCTTTTTTTTAAATATTGAAGTGAAATTCCAATAACATACATTAGCCTTTTTAAAGAGACAGTTGTGTGGTATTCAATATATTGAGAATGCTGTGTAATCAGCACCTCCATCTAGTTTGAAAACATTTTTATCACCCCAAACGGAAACTCCATACCCATTAAGCAGTTGCTTCCCATTTTTCACTACCACCAGCCCCTGGTAACCATCAAGCTGCATTCTTCCTCTGCTGATTTACCTATTCTGGATATTTGATATAGATAGAATCATATACTTTTTGTTCCTGGATTTTTCCACTTAGCACAATGTTTTTGCGACTTATCAATGCTGTAGCATGTATCAGTACTTCATTCTTTTCTGTGGCTGAATAAACTCTATTGTATGGTTATACCACATTCACTTGTTGATGGACATTTAAGTTGTTTCCACTTTTTTGCTATTGTGGGTAGTGGTCCTATGAAAATGCATGTACATGTACTTATTTGAGTCCCTATTTTCAGTTCTTTTGGATTTATAACTAGGAGTGGAATTACTGGGCCATGGCGTAATTTTGTGTTTAACTTTTCAAGAAACTATCCTAGTCTTCTTGAAGCGCTCATTCTCCTGTGCCTCTATTTAAATGTTAGAATTTCTCGAGGTTTAATTCTAAGCTACCGTTCTCTTTTTTCATTTGGTGCTGTTAAGTATAGTCATATACTGCATGACAGTGTTTCAGTCAATGACAGGCTGCATGTAGAACAGTGGTCCCATGAGATCATAACGGAGCTGCAAATTTTCCATTGAATAGTGATGGTGTAGCCATGATGACATCCAAGCAGAATGCATTACACACGTGTTTGTGGCAATGCTGGTGTAAACAAATCTACTGTGCTGCCAGTCATATAGAAGTATAGCACTTACAATTATGTACAGTAAATAATACTCAATAAGGAGAACTAATGGCCATGTTTCTAGCTTATGTACTTCCTATACTGCACTTTTTATCATTATTTTAGTGTGCTCTTTCTACTTATTAAAAAAGTTTGCTGTAAACTAGTATACTGTGATATACTGGCAGTAGCCTTATACATCTGGTGTTTGCAGTGTCTCTTGATTGTACAATTTTTTCCTGTGCTTGATTTAATTTCATGTTATTTTGTTTATCATGGCCCCCGAGTGTTTGTACAATGACAAAATTGCCTAACGACACATTTCTCAGAACATATGCCCATCGTTAATCAATGCCTGACTGTATGTATCACCTGTACTCATGGCTTCAATTACCATCTGGGTCTCGGTATCCTTGCTGTCCACCACCAGGTCCTGTTGATTTTCCTTTCTAAGCTGACTAATTTCTAGTTGTATATTATGTCTCCACTGTCACCACTCTTATCTTGTCTGTACTCCTATAGACGTCCTTGTGTGGCTGACTTTATTGATCTAACTGGTCTCCCTGTCCACAGACAAGGCCCTTCTCATCCATTCTGCATTCCATACCAGGAGGGATTCCTTTAAAATGCAGGTCAGATCACAGAACCTCTAGCGTGTTCACCTTTCAGAACAAGCAACATTTTTAATGCTGTCCCTTTAGGCTCATTTTGAGCTACTCCCCTCTTCCCTCTGGCCACTGGCCTTAATTGTGCTGGACAATTCTGTGGTCTCCCGTCTGAGGGCATGGTACACTGTTCCCTCGGTCTGGAGCATTCGCCTTGTGAACTCACAGTTTTTCCAGTTCTCATATCCATCTTCCTTATGGAAACCTCCCAACTCCAGGTGAGATCAGGTCCCCCACAGTATGTTCTGGTCCTCATCACATTTGTGTACTTTTAAAAAGTATATATTTTTATTGATTTCAGAGAAGAAGGGAGAGGGAGAGAGAGATAGAAACATCAAGGATGAGAGAGAATCATTGATTGGCTGCCTCCTGCATGCCCCACACTGAGGATCGAGCCCACAATCCGGGCATGTGCCCGGACCAGGAATCGAACCGTGACCTCCTGGTTCATAGGTCGATGCTCAACTAGCCATGCTAGTCAGACACATTTGTGTACTTACTAATTAACGTCTGGACTGTACTTTTGAGAGGAGATGGGGCAATGTCAGTTTTGCTTCAACTTATGTAAGTTTTGACTTAAAAGTGGATATTTACTAGATGTCTGTTAAATTAATTAATGGGAAATGGTGGAGCTCTAACTCAAAACTGATTTCATGTCCTTCCCTTTCCACTGCTCCACCTGCCCCATCCTTACAACAGGAATGTCCTTGAAAATAACCAAACTGGGGAAGAAACAGAAGCAAGGAGGAAAACCGCGGGGCTGGTTCCCAGGGTCTGTCATGGACATTGCTCCTCACCCACACTTCCGGGTGGGAAACCAGCCTCCCGGAGAAAGGAGGGGCTCTCCTGCGGGAGGGAAAAGCACTGGAGCACCCACTCCACCTCTCGTCACCCGCACAGGGAGAAGACTGCCTGCCCTCCACACAGCCTTCAGCATGTAGCAGTCACCCCTTACCCATGGGAGATAACATTCCAAACCGCCAGAACCTGGGATAGCACCAAACTTTATATAAACTACTAGAGGCCCGATGCATGAAAATTTGTGCAAGATTAGGCCTTTCTTCCTCCAGCTTCCAGCACCGACTTCCCTCCGGTACCCGGGACCCGGGCTGCTTTGCTCCAGCTACTACTGCCAGGCACCCAGGACCTGAGCTGCTTTGCTCTGGCCTCCCAGGCTGCTTTGCTCCGGCCGCTGCTGCCACCCACCGGTTCCCCATGGTTTCCCGTTTGCCATGCTGAGATCGGAGCCTGCAGGCCTGTGTGTGTGGGGGGGGGAGGAGGGGGAACGAGAGGTGGTCAATGCACCGCATGGCGACTGGTCGAGCGGTCGTTCTGGTCATTACGCTTATGGTGCCTGGCCTTTTATTATATAGGATTTTTTTTTATTATACACACATACCTATGATAAAGTTTCATGCATAAATTAGGCACAGTGAGAGATTAGCAATAATAACTAATAATAAAATAGAATAATTATAATAATATACTGTAATAAAAGTTACATGAGTGTGGTCTCTCTCAAAATATCTTATTTTACTGAACTCACCTTTTCACTTAAAGGTCAGATTTTACAGCTTCTCTTTGGCATATCTGAGTGGCCAGCATCCCTACTTTTGCACTTGGGTCCATTATGAAATAAAATAAGGTTTCCTTGAACACAAGCATTGTGATGCCGAGACAGTCAATCTGATAACTGAGCCGGCTACTGTGACTAGCAGGTGGGGAGTAGATACATGTGGAGATGCTGGACCAAAAGATGATTCGCATCCCGTGCAGGATGGAGCAGGACAGTGCAAGATGTCATTGTGCTACTCAGAACGGTGCATAATTGAAAACTTGGGGATTGTTTATTTCTGGAATTTTCCACTTAATATTTTTGGACCACAGTTGATGGCCAGGTAACTAAAACCACGAAAGTAAAACCTCAGATGGGGGAACTAATGTATAACCCTTTTAGAATAGCTTCCCCCTTTGAATTTGTATATGTTCTTTATTTTTAAATAATTTCAACAAGACAAAAAGTGCCCTTGAATCCTTTGTGGAAGAAAGGCAATTGCATGGATGAATGAGTTAAATGAATTAATAAATATAGAGAAAAGTGTGAATGGAGCTGTTGGTGTGGCCCAGTATGGACACATAGAACAAGTGCAATTTGTCCCCAACCCCTTAGAAGGGATGCTGATGACCAGTTCTCTGCAGACCTGGGACACACACTGAGTTCAATTCTCAATCACCATTTCTTGCCCCCCTAGGAGTCTTTCCCAGAGAAGCTGAATATGGATGGCAGCATAAGTGACTCTAATCCATCACTAAGTGGAAGTGACAGCCCACACTCTGAAGTACTGAAATAATTTAGGAAAAGCAAAAGCTCAAGATTATCACAGGTAAGCTCTCTGAGGACGGTAGGGAGAGGGAGGAGCCATCTACTTTACACACCAGGAAGTACCTGCCCAGGATGATTTTAAAAAAATAGAATCACAGAGGCTTTAAGTTGCACTAAAGCCAGTGCCTCCAGGTCAACTTGAAGGAGGCCTGGAATCACTGTTTCTCCTCTGGGGCATGTTGAGTCCCTCCCACCTCCATTTAAGGGGTGTTAACGGTGGGAAACACCACCAGATGTCTGACACCAACTCAGGAAGTCAGAGTCTGAGTGAGTCTCCCCACTTCTCCCCTCAGTTCACAGCAAGGGTTTGAGAACTCACCCAGGGCAGCACCATTGGTGGCTCCTCTGGTCTCCCTGGTGTCCTTGCCTTTCTCTGGGCAGCAGGCAGGAGGTGGTAGCTCAGTTCTGAATCATGATCAAACTTCTCTTGTTGCAGCCACCAGCCTTGCTTCTAAAGGCAGCTGCAAGCATTTCCTTACTGAGCAACCACACACGTAGAGTATGAGTGGCGTAAGCGTGTGTGTGTTTTTCCTTCCGGTGCTGTGAAGTGATGTTGTCTCAGTTCGTTTCCTCTCAGAGCTTTTTTTTTTTTTTTCTCTCTCTCTGTCAGAACTGATACACTGTGGACGATTTGTAGTTTAGGGACAGGTAAGAAATCTAGTTTGAATCTATACTGTTTGCTACCTTGAGAAAGACGGGTGATCTTTTAATTATTAATGCAATACCACTCTGTGGAATGCACTTTCTAATTGGCATAAGCTCCTTTCAAGGCTGCATAGAGGCAAAAATTAGTCTATTTTAAGGCCAATCAAATTGGGATTTTTGTGGCTTTATGGACTCCATATGTTCCAGAGTTCCACTATAAGTTGACACAAAACATCCTTCCATTTTACAAGTATGTATTGAGCCTATACCCTGTGTTAGGCACCCTGCTAGGGGCTAGGTATGCAAATGGAGACTCTCCTACTTAAATGTGATGAGTGTGTGGAAGGGAATTGGAAAATTACTTAGTCCCAAGACCTTTGTGTTTTTCTGGCTGTACTTTTGAGTAGCAGACAAGTGGATATGCTCTGAAGCCAAGCTCCCAGGTTTGAATTACCTCTACCCTTTAAACTCTTTTGCATTTCTGTGTCTTAGCTTTTTCATCTGCAAAATGGGAATAATCATAGGGTTGTTGTGAGAATTAGATAAGTTAGTATATGTAAAGCATTAAAAGAGTACCTGGCACAAATAAATAAGTAAGCAATATTTACATTTTTGCTATTTTTATTTGTGATAATTGATGTTATTATAAGTTCAGTCCTTTGCTTTTGCCTTCTCTCCCCTACTTCCCACACCTTGCTGGTACCTAGAAAATGACTTGGGGGCATACAGGGTGAGAAATGAGGGAGAGGGCATGACAATAGATGCTCCCAAGATGACCAGTGGTACCTGATGCTCCTGCTCCTTCCTGCTCCAACGCCGAGGCAAGGAAAGGGTTGTGCTGGGTGCTCCCCTCATCTTTATACTCCTCTCATGTTGTATGTTTCACTCTTGTGAATTCTAGTGTGTTGTTTTGTTTTGATTTGCAGTAAGATTTCTCTGAAATTCAGATACATGCCATTTATTTAAAAATGTTGAGTTATCCTATACCATGCTAAGGAATACTCTGCCATAAGCAGACATCACATTTAAACAAAGAAACAAATACTCAGGCCAATGCTTTGTGCCATTGAGATTTATCAATACATCAGCAACAAGAACGTTTATATTAATAATCATCCACATATTGCATTCTTAAGTGTAATTAGCAATATTCATGGTGAAAATAACAAGTTACTCTATTTTTAATCTTTATTTCTCTTTCCTTAAAAAAACATTCTAGAGTACATGTTATGTATGCATCAAGAACTATTGTAGATTTTGGGTAGAATTATCTTTTTTCCAAGTTTTTATTTTATAGTGCAGAATATTTTTAATAAATTGATAGAGGTAGAGGAGTAATATGGACAGTACATATTTTTTTCAAAATGTCCCTGTACTAATTTCCTATTACACTAATCAGCTAAAGTATTAGGTTTTTCATTAGATGTTAAGCAGTATAAATTTAAATGTGTCAATTTTAGAAAAAATAATTTACAGTTATCTACACTAATAAAAGAGAATCATGGTAATTAGTGTACGACCGCTACCCTTCCCATTGGCTAATCAGCATATCCTTATGCAAATTAACTGTCAGCCAAGATGGCGGCCGGCAGCAGGCAGCTGG